GAGAAGTAAAGAACTTGAACATTTTGCAAAAATCTGGGTGTTTTGGAACTGACTTGGTGTCACCTATACCATTCTGTGAGGGTTGTGTCTTAGGTAAACAACATAGGGTTCAGTTTCCTGTTTCTAGCTATCCTAGTGAGTCTAAGTCCAAAGCTGTCCTTGACTACATACATGCAGATGTATGGGGTCCTTCCAATGTCCCTACCCATGGGGGTAGGAGGTATTTTCTGTCCATAATTGATGACTTTTCTAGAAAAGTCAGAGTCTGTTTGTTAGAACATAAATCTGATGTGTATGTTAGGTTTAAAGAATGGAAAATTATGGTAGAAAATCAAACTGGATGTAAGGTTAAAACCCTTAGAACTGACAATGGTCTAGAATTCTGCAATAAGGATATGGATAGGCTGTGTACTGAGTGTGAGATTAGGAGACACAAAACTGTGCCCTATACTCCCCAACAGAATGGTTTGGCTGAAAGAATGAATAGGACCCTCCTAGACAAGGTTAGGAGTATGTTAGCCACTTTTGGTCTCCCTAAGAAGTTTTGGGGAGAGGCTGTGAACACTACAGCCTACCTGATAAACAGATCCCCCTCTGTACCTTTAGAAGGTAAGTGTCCTGAGTCTGTCTTCTCTAAGAAACCCCTTGACTTGTCAAACTTAAAAGTGTTTGGATGTGCTGCCTATGTACACCAACAGACTGACAAACTTGACCCTAGGTCTAAGAAATGCATTTTCTTAGGTTATCCTGAAGGTGTTAAAGGATATAGAGTTTGGGATAGGAATCAGACTGGTTTTAAAGTCATAATCAGTAGAAATGTTGTTTTCAATGAAACTGATTTTCCCTGCTTAGTTAAAACTGTGACTGATCCTGAAAGTGAACCTAAAGACACCCCTCCAAGTGAGGTGGAGCCTGTCCAAACTGCTACTACACCTCTGTTCAATGAATTTGAACATTCTGATAATCTTGACCCTTCCAACACTATGCATGTAACCCCCTCCACCTCCATTGAGGTGGAGCAGTCCACTGAATCTGGTAATAGTAATGAAGGTTTGCATGATGTGATTGTTCAATCTGATTTTGCTGATAATGATGAACTTGGTGAAATCCATGTTGAGAATGACAGTCTAGATGATTATGTGTTAGCCAGAGATAGGACTAGAAGAAACACAAAGAAGATTTCTAATAGCATGACTGACTATGCTTTTCACCTCTATGATACTTCTCTGTTTTCCTTCTCTGTTTTTGAAACTCTTGAGTTGAATGAGCCTAAAACCTACCAGGAAGTCCTTGCCTCTAGAGAATCTAAAAATTGGCTAAGTGCTATGCAAAGTGAAATAGATTCTCTTAAGTTGAATAAAACATGGACCCTAGTTCCTAGGACTCCTAATTGTTCTGTTGTTGAGTGCAAATGGCTTTTCAAAGTTAAAGAAGAACCTAATAACATTAGGTTTAAAGCTAGGTTAGTGGCTAAAGGTTTCACTCGAAAGGAAGGGGTAAACTATGCTGAAATTTTTGCTCCCGTAGTAAAATTCACCACAATTAGGATGATGCTTGTCCTGGTTGCCCATAATGACTGGGAGATGAAGCAGATGGATGTTACCACTGCTTTCCTGCATGGTGAACTAGATAAACAGATCTTCATGACCCAACCTGAGGGTTTTGTTGACCCTAAGTATCCTAGACATGTCTGTTTACTTAAAAAGGCCCTCTATGGCCTGAAACAGTCTCCCAGACAATGGAATATCAAGTTTGACCAGTGTATGTCTTCCCTGAGTTTCAAAAGGTCTGATTCTGACCCTTGTTTGTATTTTAAGAATACTGCCCCTGTACCCGTTTTCTTGTTGTTATATGTTGATGACATGTTGCTTATCAGCCCTTCTGTGGATGCTATTAAGTTTGTTCAAAATTACCTTAGTAAAAACTTTGCTATGAAAAACTTGGGAGATGCTAAGAGGATCTTAGGAATCAACATTGTTAGGGATAGAAGTATCTGTACTCTCACCCTAAATCAAACCTCCTATTTAGAAAAAGTCTTGAAAAAGTTTAACATGGATTCTGCCAAACCTGTAGATGTTCCTTTAGCATCTCATTTTGTTTTAAGTAAGGATCAGTCTCCTAAGACTGGGCCTGCAATTGATAGGATGAAATCTGTTCCCTATTCCAATGCCATAGGGTCGGTCATGTATCTCATGGTAAGCACTAGGCCGGATATTGCCTATGCTGTCAGTTGCTTAAGCAGATACATGGCCAACCCTGGGATGCCACATTGGACTGCCCTGAAATGGCTGCTTAGGTACCTTAAGGGTACTTCCTCCCATGGCCTTGTGTTTTCTAAAACCCCTTCTGGAATTCTTCTTACTGGTTATGTGGACTCCAATTATGCTAATGACAGGGACAACAGAAAGTCTACTACTTCCTATATCTTTACCCTTTGTGGATCCTGCATAAGTTGGAGATCCCAACTGTAACCTATTGTTGCACTGTCCACTACTGAATCTGAATACGTGGCAGCCACTGAAGCCTTTAAAGAGGCCATTTGGCTGAAACGTTTACTAACTGAAATTGGTTTTCTTAAGCAGGTTGTGACAGTATACTCAGACAGCCAGTCTGCCATCCAGTTGTGCAAAAATCCAGTTTTCCATGACAGGACAAAACACATAGATGTCAGATTTCACTTTATAAGGAACATTGTTGATGCAGGTGATATCAAACTGTGCAAGATTGCATCTGAATTCAATCCAGCTGATATGGGGACTAAATGTCTCAATTTTGAAAAACTTTTATCCTGTAAACGAACTCTTAATTTAGACTGTGGCTAGATAAGAACATGTACAAAACCGACGATGATGATACTCCCATTCACATGTTGCTCTACACCACCAGGGGGACCAATAAGGTGGAGATTGTGAGTAGGTATTGATATTGGTCCACCTCACTGGCCCTTGGCCCATCCCATTTAATAGCTTGGTCTGCTATTTATTACCCCTGACCCGTGTTGTGCTGTCTGCCTGACTCAGCCCATACGCCCTTTTTTCTTTGCCCAAGCCCATGACTCATTGTGGCCCTTCTCTCATATTGTCCCGTTCCTTCTGGAATCTCCTATTTGATCGTCCCCTCCCTATCTCTATCTGATGTGCAGTCTTTCCGGTTACCCAAGTTCTAGAGTGAGAGAGTGCCGGTATCATCTAGGGTTTGAGCTCCGGCTACCCTCCGGTGATACCTTGGGGATCCTTCTGTGGGCTTCACTCTATGCTGGTAGTCTGGGGGGTTCTTCTCCGGTGGGTTTCTCTCGACAGTCTGGTCTGGGAGGGTTGGACACTAAACTGAGCGTTTGAGACTTGATGCCCCCTGGTTTCCCTTGTTGACTCCTTGGTGGTGAATGGTGAGCTAGCCCTTGGGCTATGGTGATTGAGGTCTGAGCCGATCCAGTAACTCTACACACATATTTGAAATAGTTCCTATTTACCCCTTTTTCTTTTTAATTATAAAAAGACTCCTTTTTAAACTCGGAAGGCAATTTGTTTTAAATCCGGAAAGCAATTTTAATTCTCCCTCTAAAAAAAGATTTCAGTTTGACTTTTGGTCAATGCACGGAGTATTACGTTAAAACCAATACATACTACGTAGTAGTATATGCGTTTAAGTGGCTATTTGGAAGATACGTAGTTTAATAGGAAGTACTCTATCCGTCCTACAAAATTTTTCCCACTTATTATTTTGGGATGTCTCAGAAATTTATTCTCATTTCCTTTTGAAAAGTTTTGGTGTGATCATTTTTCTTACTCAACTAGAATCATACATTTCCACTTTATTCTACTTTCTTAATAAATACTACGTACTACTTTTGTTTCCCTAAGTTTGGGACAAAGGGGTGCGGTCTAGCTTTTAAGAAAAAGTAGAATTGTGTGGTTGATATTGAATTAATAAGTTTGAATAAAGTAAGAATGAATTATAACCACTCAAATATCACCAAACATGTTATAAAACAAACTTAATAGAGCGTACGAAAAAGATAAAACGGGACATAGTTAGAGGAACGAAGGAAATAATAAATATGCCAAGTTAAATGGGGAAGTAATTTTTTATTAATATTAATTAAAATATTAATTAAAATATTAATTAAAATATTTTGAGTTAATTATCAAAATAGGACTAAAAGTCATTCACTTTTCACAAATAGGACCAAAAAATAAACTATGTTTGCATAGGACTAATTATGTGTACCTAGGACAATTATACCCTTATAGCTATTAAAATGTTTTAATTCCTAATAAAATAATAAAAAATAATAAAAATTCGTAAAAAATACTAAAAAATTAAGAAAAACATTTCGATATTAAAAATTTAATTAATTTTTTTTTTCAAAAATTAAAAAAATTAAAAAAAAAAAAAAAAAAACTCAAAAAAAAATCGCCGCCGTTTCTGCCGCCTCAGCACCACCACCTCCAGTCACCAGGGGAAAAAATGCCAAGTTCATTACGAATGCCATATTTATGGCAGAAAAAAATGAAAATGTTGGCATTCGAAAAGAGAAATATGTCATTTTTTTGGCATTTTCAGAAAAAAATGGCATTTTTCTGTGAAAATGGCATTTTTTTCATCGGCCGGAGGTGGTGGTGCTGGGAGGTAGTACAGGCGGTGGGAAAGGCATCCATATTTTTTTAAAGTTTTTGAATTTTTTATTTTATTAAAATTTTATAAATTTTTTAATTATATTTCTACGATTTTTTGAATTTTTTTCGAATTTATTATTAATTTAAACATTTAATTATGGCTTTTGACTATTTTTAATTCATATTTAATGGAAAGGTAAGAATGGAATGCAAAAATAGGTATGTTTCCAATAGGACTCATATGGTCCTATTTTGGAATAAAAACATAGCAAGTCCTATTTTAGGTTTTTGCCATAGTTTTAGTCTTATTTGAACTAATTTCTAAAATATTTTAGTAGGGAGTAATATTATTGTCCTTTTGGTTAGAAATAGTACTCCGTAATATTCTAGTCAGTTTTTCATTTTTTTATAAAATGATCGTCCAAGTCCACTAAGAAATGCAATTGCGTAGAATATAATTTGGCTGTATATTCATGTCATCTCGTTTTGAACTTTGAATTCATCGCCTGCCTTAATTTTCCTCAGCCCTCCGTTCCAAGCTTCGACGCTAACGTCCAAAACCCAAAAACTTTATGGGGCCTGTAAAATCCAAGGACTATGGCGTACTAGTAGATCCAGAAGACGATCAGGCGTCTTTCACGAAGCGCAGGTCCGCACGGAAACGCCGCCTCGCCACTGCCATCTCTGCCGCCGCCGTGTTCGTCACCCTAATCGTCGGCGCGGTGTTCGTCGCGCTGATCCACCATGACAACCACTCACATCAGTCTTCTCCATCATCATCAGCATCGCCGATTTCCTCCACCCCGACCGGCTTTCTCAGTACCGTCTGCGCTGTGACTCAGCACCCGCACTCCTGCTTCGTTTCCATGTCTCCATTCGCCTCCCCGCCGAAACCTAATCCGGAGCACTTCCTGAACGTTTCTCTCTGGGTCGCCATCAACGAATTGGTTAATTTGACCTCGCTTCCCAAGTCTCTGATCTCGAAGGTCAACGACCGCGGCGGCCAATCGGCTCTGCAGGACTGCGAGAGCCTGTTCAACAACGCGCTGAGTCAACTCAACGAGTCGGCCGCGCTAATCAACGCGGGTCGAGGAGAGATCGTCCTGACGCCGATGGAAATCGGTAACCTGAGGACGTGGATAAGTGCGGCGATGACGGATGAGGACACGTGTACCGATGGATTGGAGGAGATGCAATCGACGGTGACGGATACGGTGAAAGCGATGGTGCAGAGATCGAATGAATACATGAGCAACACGTTAGCCATTGTCAGTAGTTTGCAGAGCCTTCACGAGAAGTTTGGTATATCTGAGCCAAGGCATTGAATTGTCTGTGTGTTGTGTTTGACGTTTATTTTTCTGTACTACTTGTATGTAATTTGGTCATTTTTTTTGTACTACGGTAATTCTCTTGCTGGATCTGTTTTCATCTGAACTATTGGCATTTCCTTTGTTCATGTACTTCCTCCGTCCCGCTATGATTATTCCATTTTACCTTATCGGTCCGTCTCACTAAGATTATCTCATACCAAATTTGGTAAAATTTGTATGGTTCTAAATCATTCTTACTTTATTCTTACTTTATCAATTCAATATCAACCACATAAACCACTTTTTATTGATTTGCGTGTAACCCCTTTTTGTCCCATTGTTAGCGGGACGGAGGGAGTATAAAACAAGAATAAAAAAGGGGGTTTGCCCCTAATATTACTAAACTAGAGCTAATTTCCAAACAAGTGAGCACATTTAAATTTGGACAAAAAATGTGACTAAGATGTTCATTCATGTCACTGCATCACTTCCATGACACTGTCGCCGCCATCGCCTGTGTCACTGCCGCCGTATCACTGCATGTCGCAACCATTGCCCAGGTTGTCGGCTCCGTCGCCGCCACTGCCGGTCACAGTGACACCTTCGCAGTGACATCATGTCACTGTCGGATGTCACTACCGCTATTCTCGTGTCACTGTTGCCGCCATTGGCGGTGTCATTTTCGCCGTCATCGCTCATTCACCGCCGACCACACTACCATACTGATACTGCCGTAGTGACACCACCATAGTGACATCGCCGCAGGCCACAATGACACAACCACACTGACGCAGCCGCTATCACCACCCAATTACCGCTACCACATCGCTTCGATGACTGTCACACCGCTTCGACCACCACCCAGCCCAACTGGGCACAGCCCCCAGCAACCACCGGCCTGATGCCCCAACACCCTAAACCCAATAGAACACCACTCCAAACCCATTCCATCAGCCCGGGGGCCCACCACCCCCACCTGCACCCTTCTTAGCTAGCCCCCGTCCCTCCCATCCCCTGTCACAGCCCCATCACCAGCAAACTTCATAGCTGCCGCACACATCAGATTTTCACCCCCTGCCCTCTAGCCCCGCCCCCTAACCTGCCCCCAACCACAACCCCCATCTCCTGGTCTGAGTAGCGGAACTAGGGGGAGCGAGCCGGTGCTGTCGCCCCCCGTTCGCCAGAGGTTTTACTGTATATATATGTATATATACATGCTCAGCCCCGTCTCAAAAATAATATGTACTAACTGACCCGTGTCTAACTCACTAGTTGGAGTAGCACAGATGGCTGAGGAGTTTTAAAGCTACAGGGAGACTCGGATTCAATCCTTGCTCAGTCTCCTTTTTTAATTACTTACTTCATTACACTTCTTCCTCTACTTATCTCTTAACCTTTTGGAATGTTATTAGTTTTAATATTTTTTCTACCACATTTCTTTTACTTTTATGTTGCATTTTGATTTTTCAAATTCAAAATATTTACTCCATATTTTGTACTTTTTCAAATATTAACATGTTATTTACATTTTAGTTTAGTACAAGAACAACAAAAAATGACTTTTAGCTATTGCTTCCCCTTCAAACATTGACCTATATCATTTTATAAAAAGTTTATCAATAAACTTTTCAAAACTACTTGAATTTTATATTTATTCCTTGGGTTAGTACAAATATGCCAAAATTTCTTGTTAATATTTGAAATATCTGACTTTATATGAGTATAATTAGATTTATGTAATACTTTTGCAAAAAAAAATCATTTTAAAAAATAAATAACCTACTTGTAACACTATTTGAAAAGAGAAAAAAATTATTATTTTCTTGATAATATAAGTTAGTAACTTATATATATACTCCGTATGTTATTAATTTATCTTCCTCTACGTGTTTAGCTATATTTCTATTTAAACCTTTTTATTCTAAAATAAAAGGGAAAGCGTATTAAATCGAAATAAACTCATTTAATAAATGTAGTCTATTATTTTGTTTAGGCACTAACAAATCAGTTATACAAATGAATAAATGTCGATATTTAAGTTGATGTGTATATGTATGTGTGCGCTTGTGTGTGAATTATATATAGGTACAAATAAAGTGTCACTTCATGCAAATGGGAAAAATATTATATAGTAATTTGAGATCAAATTACCATAAATATACCCAAAAACGATACAGATTATGAATCTTCCCAACTAGCGGTTAAATTTTTTTTAGCCCCTGCTCAAATTTTGTTCTGGTTCCGGCACTGCCTGGTCTGACTAGCCCAACCCTCAATCCACCCCTCCCCAGCCTCGAATTAGCCCCAATCCACCCCAGCCAGATTAAGGTGAAGAAGAAAACGAGTGCAGATCTGGAAGAGATGGCAAAGGTTGGCTAGCTACGATGAACAAATTCGAGACGATGGGGGTTGGCTGCGACGAAGACAACAACGGCGATGTGAGTTGGATGTGAGGAAGACAACAACGACGATGATTGGCTGGGACGAAGATTGCGGTGGCGATGGCTGGCAGGGACGAAGACAACGGCGGCGAGGGTTGGATGGGTCGAAGACGGGTGCGGTGGAGTGCGTGCGTTGGCTGCGATGAATTCAGTGTTGGTCTGTCTCCTTCAATCCGCAGATCTGCTTCGTTCAAGAGGCGGAGGGGAGTCGATCTGTCCGTTGAGAGAAAATTGAATTCCAATCATATATTTGGAAATATTAAAAAGAGTCATATTTTTGTCTTATAGAAATGTGGGAGTAATATATGTGCCATTCTTTCAATAAAAAAACTAGGAAAATCTATCATTATATAAAAGCAAAAGGTTTTTGTCACTATTCTTTCAACATTGTTCCCGCCCAACTATCTCTAGGAAAGAAAGTCCATGGCTGAAAATTACAAAAATGTCCCTCTTGGAAAATTGCACAACATTAATATATGATGAAAATTGTGAACAGTCCGATTTGATATTACACTTATACTCCGTATTATTGTCAGAATTAAACAGTAAAGTTATGATCTCCACTAGAAAATTGAGTAGTATACATATCTAAAGTAAAGTTAAACAATAAAAAGTAGTAAATGGTCATTGATATCAAAGAATCTTCAAAACTTTGGTACGGAATTGTATAAAAAGCAGAATACATCAAATCCGGCCAACCTGTGTCTTGGAGCATGCGTACACATCTCCATAAAGAATACGAAGTCTTGAGATCTGAAAAACATAAAAAAATAAAATCAGCCCACAACTTTTGCCAACCTGTCCTTGGCTAACACGAAATTTCTTTGGGAAGGATCATCCAATTTTTCCTATAAATACTAACCTCATTTCAAGGGAACACCACTTGATCCTTCTGCCTCTTTTCTTTCACTAGAAGTTTTGAACCTACTAGCAATAATCCTATCCATATATACATGTGTGAGTGATATTTATTCAATCGAATTTGTTCTTTTGTTAATGATAAGTCGATGAAAAGTAAAGCAAACTTGAACAACTGAAAGGAGAAAAGCAAATGAGAATACAACTCTAGAGGTATAAGCAAATTCTAAACTTCCTACAATTTGTTGATGACTATATTACGAAGAAGCCGGCACCAACAAAGCAATGGGTCTCTCCACCGCCATTCTCTAATGAAAGTTTTTAGTTCATGCAAAATCAATCAGAAGGATTATGTCCTAAACTCATGTTTTTATCTTTACTAGCTCAATGAAAGAATTTTACTTCAGCTACATAGACAACCAATAATTTGATAAAAGATCAGCAACATTACACAAAACATAGAGTATTCATTGTTTTGATTTATTCATGCATTCTAAGTTTTTGTGAATCCAGTCATTATAGAAATCTCAACATAAACTTGAACACACACACTGATACATACACACATACATAAGTAGACACACACAGTGGCACATATGATTGGCTCATTCAAAATATATTTTAAGAAATATTAAAGCTTGACTTGGTTGAGGAAACGGATGGAAGTAAATGTTACTCTAAGTTTTAAAGTAAATGTTACTCTCAGTTTTAATCGCATGGCAATTTAGATTCTTCATTTTAGGAGTCCAATAGGAAACAATTAGCACAATCATATATATGTTGGACATGTTGTAGATCATATCAGAATGATATTACTTTTAGAAGTAATATAAATATTACTGATATTGTATTTTTTATATTAAAATGTAAAGTGTAGGTAAGAGATCAATATAGTTTACCCACTTTCAACATTATAGAGTACTTTAGACTCTTACGGAGTAGATAGGATTTACCTAACAGGCAACTCCCAATTGTTTTTAATTTTAACAGTTAAAAATGTTAGGAAATTGATGTAACGTACCTCGCAAGTACAGTAGCGGAAGTTTAAAATTTTCCTAAATAGATCTTCCCTGATTATGACAAAACAACGAATATAACAATAATAACAGATCTGAGTTAGAACTTACAGATCTTCCAGCCTAGCGGTGATAATCCTTGACCTTTGGTATCCACGTGATTTCTCTTTTCCGAAAGAACGGTTAGATCTCCCTAAGAGAAAGGCTAGGAAATCTCTTCGCAGAGAAATAAACTGGTAATACTGAATCTGAAAACTTACTTTTTAATTATGAAGGAGAAGGATGTATTTATACCAGTTCTAAACTAGTTTCCCAATCACAATGAAAGTGTTCTTCATTAATGATTAAATAAAGATAATAATAAAAATAAAAAGTAAAACACTAAAGTTGGAACATGGGATGTACGTATGATACTCCCATTCCAACTTAAGTTTTACTTATTATTTTCTTCGGCTTTACTTCAATTCTAAATTGTATCAAAACATATCAACTTTATTTAATTAAAAGTACATCTTAATTAAGTGTAATAAATCTAATTTATTTTACTTAATTAATTCTATCATATAGAATAATCCTTCAACATGATGAATTAAATATATTAATCTAATTAATATTTAATCCATTTTCAATATTACTAATTAAATATTATTTAATCCAATTAATAATATTTAATTCCTTCTAACAATTCAATCGGAAGGTATAATCACTTGTTTTGTGACCCATAAGGCCTTATATATTAAGCACTAATCAAATTAAGGTCTTAACGACTCCCTAGACGATTCTCCAGACAAACATAATATATAAGGACGTTTGTGAGGACTATTCAAACTCCCTGTAATATAGAGCTCATAGTGATACGATCCTTTCATTCAACGAACATTCAACTAAGTCTAGAACATGATATTGTGTCTATTCCAATAACTTATTTTCTGTCTCTCAATCTTTCTAGATGATCCATAACGATCATATTCGAT